TTTTTAACTTCCGAAGGAGAAGTTATGTTTTCATCAAAAAATCCGAATCGCTAATTTTATGTTTTCTCGACGTTTCGAGCCATTCTGAATCGAATGAGACCAAATTTGGAAAAAGTATGTGTGTGGTGTGTATGTGTGTGTGTGTGTGTGTGTGTGAACAGATTTTTGCCGTAAATCGACGTTTTCTCCAAAACGTTGGACCGATTTCAAAAATTTAAAAGCCATTTGATGTATCTCGATGAGGACTATCGTCTCTGAGTTTGTGCGGCGATCGGCCGGGCCGTTTCTTTGTAAATTGCAGAAAAGTGAAAAATTTTTCGTCCACGTTTTAGCCCGCAATTCTGAATCGATTCTGAAAATTCAAAAACCGTTCGATAGATATGGTTGGGAATCGTGCTGATTAGTTTTTGGTAAAGATCGGCCGGGCCGTTTTCTTGTAATAAAGTTTTTTAAAAAAAATTTTTGACGAGTTTTATGATTATTTTTTTTGACGAAAGATACCATAGTTTTCTAGGTCATACTAAAATATTACGGCCCTACGACAACTGGTTCAGCTTTAAAAATTCGTCAAAGTTTGCAAAAATCAGTATGGTCTTTATGGCATTTGTCAAAATTAGACTTTTGATTGACGTTTTCTCAAAAACGCCTGAACCGATTTTAGAAATTAAAAAGCCATTTGATGTATCGGTGAGGACTATCGTTTGTCAGTTTTGTGCAACGATCTGCCAAGCCGTTTCTTCGTAATTTGAAAAAAAGTGTTGAACTTTTCGTCCACATTTAGCTCATCCTACCGAACCGATTCAAAAAATCAAAACTGTTCGAAAGATATTAGTTGGGAATGATGCTGATTAATTTTAGGTGAAAATCTACCGAGCCGTTTTCTTGTAATTAACTGTTGAAAAAAAGTGTTAAATTTTCTTCCACATTTAGCTCATCCACCGAACCGATTTTAAAAAATCAAAAACTGTTCGAAAGATATCATTTGGGAATGATGCTGATTAATTTTAGGTGAAAATCTACCGAGCCGTTTTCTTGTAATTAACTGTTAAAAAAAAATTTAAGCCGTTTTTCATGGAACTTTTTTTGGCGATATACATCATGGTGTCATAGAACTTACTGTAATATTACGGCCTTACAACAAGTAGTTTAATTTTAAAAATTCGTCAAACTTTGCTAAAATTATTATCGTTTTTTTTAAAAGTAGGATTGATGAAGTATATTATTTACACATTTTTTTGATCAAGTCGATTATTTACACATATCGGGAAGTTCATGTAATTTGCCTCAAGGCTAAATACCAAACCAACTAGTTAATGAATTGAATGAACTTTGGGCAAAATATTAGGACATGTGGACTTTTTTTTCCAAATGTTGCAAAATATATCCAATGAAATGTGTTCAAAAACACAAGTCAAGTGTATTACAGTTTGTATTTTATGTAAAATATAATATTACAAAAAATTGCTATTCTACTTTTAATTTAATGAGAAGCATGAATTTCTCAAACGGTCAGTTGTGCAGTAGATAGGTGCACATGTATATATCTTCTTATATATAAAAATGGATCGCAAAATTTGTTGGTAAGCGCATAACTCAACAACGCCTGGACCAATTTGGCCAATTCTTTTTTTTAAATGTTTGTTTATGTCCAAGGATGGTTCTTACGGCGAGAAAAAATCGAATAATCGTCGGGAAAACCCTTTTCTGGCTAATACAAATAGTCGTAGTCGGCTTCTCGATATTATTTTTTGTTTTACTTTCGGCAGGCGATAAAATTGGTATGGCTTTAAAGAATTTGACTTCAAGTCATATAGGATTAAAACAATCAATGTCAATGTCCATTTGCCGCCCTTGCCGGTGGTGTTTTTCTTGCATTTTCTGTTATACTCGACTGAGTGTGCTTTTGTTTTGTTTGTAGTGTTTTGTTATCTACCTATGAATAAAAAGTTATTGCATGTGACACAATATTTTAATAATGTCTCCTATAAGACGAGGCAATTTAAGTAGAAGAACACGAAATGCTACAAACCAAGCTAATTACCGATCTAATCGTACTGCACAAGAACATGACGACCGACATAAAAGTTACTCAATACCAAATGGGCCGCTATGTTAGTAGTAATGAAGCAATTTGGCAAATATTTTCTTTTCCAATTCATAAGAGACACCCTTCTGTTATTCACTTAGCTGTGCATTTAGAAAATGGGCAAAGGGTGTACTTTACAGCAGTGAACGCAGGTCAAATATGCAAATCAGTAAAGAAATTTACAACGAAGCATTGATTTCAATTGAAGACATGTGCTTGATGATGTCAAACAAAGTATTAATTCACTTAGGCCTGCCCGCGCCCAATCGTCCAATGCATGATGCTTTTAACCAAGAATTGCATCGAGAAAATCTATATGAGCTCAACAATTTGAAAGAATTAATCGAAACAAATCTTCCACTGTTGAATGAGCAACAGAGGTATGTATTTGATATTCTTATGAAAGTAACAAATGATGGAACTGGGGGGATTTACTCCTTAGATGCGCCTGGTGCTACAGAAAAAACTTTTTGATTTTATTAATATTAGCAACAATTCGCTCACAAAACAAAATTGAACTTGCACTCGCTTCATCGGGAATCGCAGCAACTTTACTCGAAGGTGGTCGAACAACCCATTCAGCACTGAAATTGCCATTAAATATGCAAAGCAATGAAACTCCAATTTGCAACATTTCGAAGAACTCTGCAATGGCTAAGGTTTTGCAGCAATATCAATTGATTGTTTGGGATGAATGCACGATGGCACATACAAAATCTTAAAAGATCAGCAGAGCAATCAGAACCGATTTGGTAGATTTTTTTTGACAGGACGAAGTCTGTCGGGTCAGCTAGTATGTATATATATATATATATATATATGTATATATATATATGTATATATATATATATATATATATAATTAGGGTGGTCCTTAAAATGGTCATTTTCGAATTTCCTTGCTCCCAGGGGCTCAAATGGTTCCAAATTGATAAAAAACAATTCTCTGAAAGTTTTAGTCTTTAATTTAACGTTTAGATAGAGCGCAATTCAATCAAAGTTTGTATGGAAAGAGCATGGAAATTTTTTTGAAAATTAAAAAAAAGTGTTTTAGGTATAACTAGCGACAAATGAATGAGTTTTATTCATTCATTTGTTCGCTAAATTACATTTAAAAAACATTTTTAAAATTTTTGAAAATTTTTCCATGCTATTTCCATACAAAACTTTGATTGAATTGCGCTCTATCTAAACGTTAATATTAAGAGCTAAAATTTTCAGAGAATTGTTTTTTATCTATTTGGAACCATTTGAGCCCCTGGGAGCAAAGAAATTCGAAAATGACCATTTTAAGGACCACCCTAATATATATATATATATACAGTGGTGCTGTGCTAATATTTTTTTTACCGGAACGCTAAAATTAAAAAACCGGTTCAAAAACCGGTTCTCATGTTTGTACCGGTATATTATATACCGTATATATATGCATGTTTATCACATATAATAGAAAAGTTTAATAAAAATTAGTAAAATCATGAATTATAAATTGTAAAATTCACTTATGAAATTATTTTCTGTGTGTTGAGAATTTTTTTTTTAATTTTTTTGCCGGAACGCGTTCCGGCTCAAAAATGATTTGCCGGAACGACGTTCCGGCGCGTTCCGGCTCGACAACACCACTGTATATATATATATATATATATATATATATATATATGTACATATATATGTATATACATATATATATCATATGGAATATATAGCCATAGCCAGTTAATATTTATACTTTTTGAAAAACAACTTTGATTTTATATTAATATTTACAAAACCTGTGGAGTTAGAAGTGTTTCTTGTCTTTGTACAATCTGTTTGGCGTAGCAGCTTCTTAAATTCAATCTGGTCTTTGCCAAATTCGTGGTCCAGCCAAATCGTTCTGCCAATAACAGCGAACGTTTGGGATCGCTTACTGATCGGTGATTAAATGCTGAGCCGCTCTGAGCGATCGCTTTGTGAAATAGACCTATATTAAAAACAAAATTAAAATAAGGTATAAAATGTAACACTGGTTTGTATATAAAATTAAGTCTTATATAACTGATTGCCATTGAAATATCTTAAATACAATTATATTAAATAATTTAAAATAATTAACTTCAGACATCGGTGATAGCATATGCATATGCACACTGCAAGCGCCGGCACTTTCACCAAATAATGTTACATTATTAGAATCACCACCAAGTGATGTATATTTTCTTCACCCATTTTAATACCAGAACTTGATCTTTCATTCCTGCATTTCCTGGCACATTTAACTCAGGATCTGAAAAGCTTAAGAAACCTATAACAAATAAAATATCATGATAACAATAGAAATCATTTATTTTCACTGATGTATCCTCACTTCTGAGAACGAAAATTGGTATATATAAGTAGTGGATTTTTTTTTTAACAATACATTGCACATTTATTGCATTAGGTAACAAATGTAAATAACTTTGTAACTCCCAGTATACGTTGCGCGTACATTACATTTAGTTAACATTTGTTATATAACTTTGTGGCACAAAATGTTACATTACGGCAACAAGTAGTGTTTACTGGGATTATTGCAAATATAAATATCGGGTTATGAAAATTTTGCTCTTTGTTCATATTTTTGTCCATCATATCTAATAGCAAATTATAGTCTCTTATTAGAAATTAAATTAATTCTTTGCGAGCGTTGCTACACACAAGTCGACATGCATATATTTATATATGTTGCTTAATTCTATAATATTGATTAATTTACAGTTATATAAATATGCCAATGAAAATCTTAAAACTGTTCAGTGTTTAAATTTTTACATTTTTTCAAAATGTTAAAAAACTGATTAATAAATCCGAAGAAATCGAGAAACACCAGATATTTCTGCCCTTAAGCATTTTGAAAGGCCAGCATATATCACAAGTTCAAATTTACATTTGAAAAATAAAAATGTTGGGAAAAATAACTTACCAAAAGCGCCCAAACGGTAATTAAACGTGACTACAACTACATTGTTAGCTACGAGATAATCAGGTCCATACAAATCTGAAGAGCTGGTACCTCGCATAAATCCTCCACCAAATATGTAAACCATGACCGGGCACAGCCTCGTGGAAGGTTTTATCTGATCAAAAATCAGTTTATCGAATATATAATTTAAAGTTTTACAAGTATACGTACTTCTTTGGTATAAATATTCAAAGTTAGGCAATCTTCCGAGCCCACATAACGTTTACTTAAGGTCTCCTGTTGGGAACATGGCAATGCAGGCACACATTGCAAATTTTTGGTTGGGATACTAATTCGACTGGATCCTAGAAGAAAAATTCAAAAACATTATTATATATTATATAATTCGCTTTACACGGTTCTTGAAAATATATTTTAACTATATCTATAATAGCATTTTCATTGTTTTGTTGTCATTTTTTTTTTTTTAATTTTCATTCTGCAATCCAAATACCGAAAATGGTAACTCAGTTTTTAAGAGAACGGAGCGTCCGATTTGAATAATTCAAAAACATTTTACTTGTATTGACAAGATGAAGAATCGATAATATTTTCATGAAGGTAGTCTAGCGGTTTCGGAAAAAGTAATTTTTTGTCCAATTTATAGTTTCTCAAAAATCTTATTTTTTCAAAGTAATTTTTGTTCAAAAATGTTAATCGTTTTTAAAAAATAATATTTTTGTACGGGAAGTTCCAGCAATTTGCCTTAAGGCACGATGCCTTAATTGCCTTAAGACAGAATTCCACTTACAGCTAGTTTTAATTTTCATTCTGCAATCTATAAAAATAATTACATTTAGCAGAGAATAAAAAAAACTAACTGAAAAATACGAATTCTTACTAGCTTATAATAGTCTATGCTATGATGGAAATAGGCGACTCCCCGTTTCATGACCAAAACTAAATTTTATGTGCGTATAAGAAAGTTTGTTTAAAATACCAAAAAAGAGCAGTACTCTTTTTAAACTTTGTTTCTAATTAGTATTTATATAATTGATTGCGTTAATTTATTTAAGGTGATCGAATAACAGTATTATTTTTTATTGAAATAAATTTATTAAAAGTGCACATGTTTCATAATATATATTTATTTTTGCCTTCTCATAGGGTAAAGTTAGTAATCGCAAAAAGTTGAAAATGAAAATTTTTATATATCTTACATTTTGGCATACCTTTAAAAAATGAATGTATTTGTGTGTGCGTTTCTGTGTTTGGATACAAATTTTCGTCGACTATTTCGTGAACACTGATCAACCGATTTGAATCATTCAAAAAACATTCGATTCGCATTGACGACGAGAAGTGCTGATTAGTTTTGGCAGGGGCAGGTCCAGCCGTTTTGAAGATACGGGACAAAAAGTGCTAAAAATGGTAATACAGTTTTTGAGATAACGGAGCGTCCGATTTGAATGATTCGAAAAATATTTTATTTGTATTGACAAAATGAAAAACTGTTAAAATTTTTGAGAAGATGGGCATAGCGGTCTCGGAGATCTAATAAGTAAAAAAAAGTAAAACAAAATTCATTTGGCGGTCAATGATATTTACATATGCACATTAAATTATCAGTTATTTTATGAAAATTTTAATAATAGGAACTAATTTTATTTACATTTCTTTGGGTTCTGTACAAATGTTTATCCGTTAAGGTGCGCCCTAACCTAACGAACGAACAAGAACAAGCAAGAATGTATGTACGTACCAGAACGAACGGCAACGAGCATGGTGTGAACACCACAACGAACACGAACGAACACAAACGAACGTAGCGAGCAAGGTTCCGCAATTTGTCGGTACATATATCAAAGAAAATTGTTCGTTCATGTTTTGAATTCGTATGTGCAGTGTAGACATAGACCTTATACAATATTAAATTGTATAAGGTCTATGAGTGTAGACCCTAGACCAGAGGTCGGCAACGCGGCGCCCGCGGGCGCCATGGCGCCCCCGATCAACTTTAGATGCGCCCTCGGTTAATGTAAATGTATGATAACCTTAGCATAAATCAATTTCACATTTTCCAAATATAAGGCATATTGTTGTAAGTCTAAAAATAAATATAGAAAATTTTACTACTACATCATATTTAGAAGTTATAGTCAAATTGGCAGAAGAGTTTGTTCAAGATTTCGCAGCACTAGAACCCGTTCTAGGATTTTTTATAAACCCATTCAAAGTTGCCGAAGATGATCTTCTGCAAAGTGTTTCAGTGTATTTCGAAATTAATAATATCGAAGACGTGGAGTTAGAAAAAATTAACTTACAAAATGATATTATTTTAAAAGCACATAGTAATGATAAAATGTTTTGGAAGTCGATGAAAATACGTATCCTATTTTAAGGAAATGTGCGCTAAAAATTTACTCATATTGTGCAACAACATACAATTGCGTGTCTTTGTTTTCAAATATGAAATATTTGAAATTAAAATACCGAACAAAGTTAAATGACACACATTTAGATAACTGTTTGCGGACAGGGAACTTTAATTATATTCCCGATTATAAAAAATAGCTGAAAATACGGACACACAAGTTTCACACTAAATTATGTGTATATAATTAGGTATTATTAAATCATACTCTCCTTATATCGATGTACTGAATGTTCGTAATGTATATATTATATTATATTAAGTCTTAGTAACTAAGAGAATAAAGTTATGAAAAATCTTTTTTTTTTTCATACCGATGCGCCCTCGGTAATTTTCAGATTTAGTTTTGCGCCCTTAACGGCAATCAGGTTGCCGACCCCTGCCCTAGACCATCCCTAGACAATATTACATTGACAACATTAGAACGACCTAGACAATATTAGAATACCCTGTGTTCATTCGTTTGTCTATTATATTCGTGCGTCCACACCTAACGAACGAACATGAACGAACATAAAAGAACGTACCAGAACAAACAGCAGCAGCATAGTGTGGACGCCACAACGATCACGAACGAACATAAACAAACATGGCGAGCAATGTTCCGCAACTTGTCGGTACATCAAAGGGAATTGTTCGTTCATGTTTGAACTCGTATGTGCAGTGTGGACGCTACCACGAATGTAGACAAACATTTTTCTTTTTTGATGTTAAAATGTGCAGTCCTGCATTAGTTTATTTTGTGTTTATTATAAGAAATTGCTGTTATTGACAAATTTTGTAAATTTGATGACTTTAAATAATTTGCTCTTTCCCGCCACTTTAAATAATAAATCTGGCGTTTCACGGTACATCCTCGAACAAAAAGATTCAAGCCCTCACTGCTTTGAGGCGTTTGTTTGGAATTTTTTGCGTTCGTTCGTGTTCCTGTTCGTTCTTCTTTGTATTTTCTTGTTCGACATGTTCGTTCGTGTTCGTTCGTTAGGTGTGGACGCACCTTAAATAGTGGTGTGGACCATGTGTGGACGCTGAAGCTACCACGAATGTAACCAAACATTTTTCTTTTTTGATGTTAATATGTGCAGTTCTGCATTTATGTTGTGACATTGCTATTGTTGATAAATTTTGTAAATTTGATCACTTGCAATAATTTTTCCCTTTCCGTCCACTTTAACTAATAAAACTGATGTTTCACGGAACATTCTCGAACAAAGAAGATTCAAGCCCTGGCTGCTTTAAAGCGTTTGCTCAAGTTCGTTTGGAATGATTCGCCTTCGTTCGTGTTCGTGTTCGTTTTTCTTTGTATTTTCTTGTTCGTCATGTTCGTTCGTGCTCGTTCGTTATGGCCCGTCTCCACTGCACGAACGCGCACGGTGAATCCTGTTTTTGGCATGCGCGAGGTTTGCTTTTGCTTGCAATAATTTAGTCTGCGCACATTGCAAACAGATTCGCCGTACGGATTCGTGCAATGGAGGTGAAGGATGGGTGAAGGCACCTTTAGATCCGACGCGCGCTAAGTTCAAAATTTCCAGAATATTTCAAAAGATAATAGAAAATTCCAAAAAGTCAAATGCTTTTAAAAATTTCAAAATTCTCTAAAATTTAATTTTTTCAAAGTTTGAAAATCATTTTCAATCTTTTTTAAGATTTTAATTTTCGGTACGAAAAGATCTAACAATTTGCCTTAAGGCACAATGCCATGCGCCACTAGTTCGTTCAATGTATTTGTTATTCATCATATTGAAAATTGAAAGAATGTATTTTTCATTTTTTATACCGTGCTAAGCGGGGGATATGTGTATATATATATGCAAAATTCCATAATTACCTGAAACCGCAAACTTCCAACAGGAGTTTCTGCATATCTTATTCCTTTGAAACTATAGTAATCAACACCGGTGCAGCTAACAGTTAATTGCCCTTGCACGGTTCCGTTCGCAGTGTCAACAAACATATTCATAACTTTTTTTATTTTCATTCACTTTATTAATTAGCAACTGTGCAATCCACACCACACATTTTTTGAGTCATTGGCAGTAAAATTTAAACCAATATGATAATACAAAATTTATTCATATGGGAATTGAACTCAGTTGAACCTTGACATTAATTGAGATTACAATTAATGGTGCATTGAAAATCAGTTCACCAATATTAACACAAACTGAAAATAACCACAATGTAACATGAAATACAGTTTTTAGAAGTAAATAAATAGCAATTGATGAATGTATTATTGAATTCAGAATAAAAATAAACGTTTACACTTCATTTTTATTCATAATTAATAATTTCACCAGAATAGAATATATGACTTCTAAATTTTGCATTAAATAATACCTCACCTCAGGCTCAGTTTTAAGGTTATATAAATATAACCTATAAAACGGAGTGGTTGTCAATTTAACTTGCATCATAAGTTTGGTTCGTCTATGAAGTCAATGAAAAAATAAACAATCATGGCTAGTAGTAGACTAGAAAAAATTGGAACAATATTTAGCAGGTAACACCCATAAATAATAAATTAAAATATCCATCAGTTATGTTTCGATCGTGAAATAATTGAATTTTAGAGTTGACGGTTTAATCAAAGCTAATGGCATGAAATGGAAAGAACGCCCGCTATGGTACGATATTTATAAAGCCTTTCCACCTGCACTTGAACCTAAATATGCACGTCCAGTTCCAAATCTTCCAATCCGTAATATATTCTATGAAGAAGATGTAATCAGAGCGTAAGTAAATACACATTTCAATCAGTACATTGTAATTATTTTAAATTTTATTTGGCTCTGATTTAGGAAATTCCATAAAGGCAATAAACAATTACCTGGCTACAATTTATCAGATAGTTCACATAAAACAACTACACAAAAGTTTATATTGATATTCAATCAATTAAAGAGCGACAATAAAACTCTTGATGATGACCAACTATTTAACACGGCTTTAGATTTGCTAGAGTCCGAGATGGTTTCCAGAAAAGAAGCCACAACCAGGCCATTAGAGACTGTCACAAAATCAGAATCAAAGTCTGAAGATATGAATGTTAATATAAAAGATTTATTTAAATAAAATAATGTATAGATATTAAAAATAAATAGTCAAGATTAATGCTAGTGTATTAACATACATGCTTTTATTATTATTATTTTATAAACTGCAAAAACTTTATAAGTTATAATGTAATAATATCACAGTGAACAAAGGTTTACAATTACATTGCTGTTAAGTCTATGAATAGAAAATCACATTAAACATGCGAATCAAACACATTCTACTAATTCACATGCAATAACTTAATTAAAGCAATATTTCATTGATATTGATTAACATTAATAGAAAATAATTATAAAAAGTACAAAGAGTCATCCAATTTACTATTTGGTGCCCTGTGCAAGCTTTGTCCAACCAAGTAAGCTAATTTATGTGCATATTGGCAGGGGGCTGGCACACGACATGTACCTGACCAATTATAGTACATATGGGTGAGCTTGTATGAAAGTCTTTGAATCTTATCAGGATCAAGCCCTAGTGTGTCATAAATGACATTGTAAGATGTTGGAGAAACAGTACCTTGGCGTACTGTTTGACTGACTAGGAAGAAATCGTACCTGAAAATAATGAGGTTGCCATTATTATTAAAATGATTTTTTTTGTCGTGATTATGATAATATTGATTTTAATTTACAAGAACCAAGATTTATAATTGTGTTTTTAATAAATATATGTAGTTATGTCATTTTATACATCATTAAAATAATTGTTTATAATAAGATTTTTTTTAATAAGTACTTATTGTAATTACATTTCTAACGGTGATTCATTATTCCCTTCTTCATGAAAAAATGGCTTAAACTCTAAATGGTAATAACATCTGAGTGTTCTCAAATTACTTGCATCAATTCACTAACTTATCTGAAAACTTTACATAGCAACCACAAGTCGTTATTTTAGATAATATTGTAAAATATTTATTGTTAGCAGTCTTTTCTTATTATTTATAAAGAAAAACAGATTACAGAAAAAATTAATATATAAAAGCAAAACAAGTGTTTCTACATAATGTCTTAAAAATACCTTACGTGGATGAAGTAATTAATAACCAGAGCGATACCCTTATAGAAAATTGAAGATCGTTCAAATGAGTTACTAAGACCAGTTTTCAACGTAACCCAATAAAATATACACAAAATCTGTACACATTATGAAAATCTCTATAAAATATCTGACAATTTGATGTGCATATGTCTAATGATCATTTTTGACCGCCAAAAGGCATTTTTTTAACTTATTTTTGTTGAGAGACCTGCCTTCCCAAAAAGTTGATCAGTTTTTTATTTTGTCAATACAAGTAAAATGTTTTCTGAATTATTAAAATCGGACTCCGTTCTCTTAAAAACTGAGTTACCGTTTTTGGCACTTTTTGCCCCGTATCTTCGGAACGGCTAAACCTTCCTTCGCCAAAAACTAATCAGCACGTCTCTTCATCAATACGAATCGAATGTTTTTTTAATTATTCAAATCGGATGGTCCATGTTCCCGAAATCATCAACGAAAATTTGTATCCGCACACATACACACATCCATCTATTTTTTCTAAGGTATGCCAAAATGTTCAAGAACCTTTGAAACGTAAAGATATATAAAAATATTTATTTTCGATTTTTTTGCGATTACTATAAATTGCCCTACAGGAAGTTAAAAATTGCAACTGATATTTACCTCTCTGGCAGTGTGATAACATCATCAACGACTGTTCCAGGTACTGGATTTTTTCTGTCAACTGAGAAAATTCTGGTATTGATACGCTTGCTCACAATTATGTATGCTAGTCGTACTGGTAAATTCCCATATTGTTCCTCAAGAAGATTAAGTACCAGCCTCACTTCTTGATTATGAACATAAGGAATTTGTCCATCGCCTACACCATCTCGATAGAATACAATTCTTTGAGGCAACATTCCACCATTGGCTTGTTTATATTTAAGAAGAGCTTCTGCAAAATAAGATAATTGCATATAGTTACTAAAATTTATTATTAAATTATAATTGTATTATATTGAATTATAAATTATTTATAATTATATCATAATAAATTATAAATTATTTATTATTATATAATAATTAATTACAATAATAAAATTATTGAACTATATTATAATTAATTATAATAATAATTAAACCATCATCATATATTAGCTTTTTACGCTCAGTAGAAATATTATTAAAAATAATAAATAAAAAATATCTTACTAGATATATTGACCACAAGATCATTAGCCAATTCTTCCCTCGAGCATGATGACTCACAGCTGAAAAGTATCGTGTTAAGCATCTATCTACAGATGCCACCAAAGCGCCATATGAAAGGGCTTTATTGGAGGAGTCATGGCATACATCAAAGCCAATGACCATAAGGCCCTGTAATAAAAATACATGATTATTATTATATTAAATACTTCTTGCAAAAATGTAATTTGCTACAATTCTATGAACCTATCTCATTAGAAATAAATATGTTTAGAAAACAATAGGATGAAGAGTTTTCATGATTAATAAAATATCATAACAATAACATTTTAACCAAAAATCAAAACACTTTAGAATATTTGTTGAAAATAAAATTAAAATTTTAAATTACTACTTAATTAAAATAAATAACCAAGAAGTCTTATTTCTTGAAATCTTAGAGCAATTGTGTTATTATTTTTGACTGTGGTCCTAGAAATGTTATTCATGATTACGGTTCTATCAAATAAACAAAAGTAATAAAAATTAACCACAATTTCATCAAAGCTCTAGAGTGCACTTAAAAGCCCATAATTTCCAAGTTACGTGATATAAATTTTTTTTCTGATTTCCAGACATATGCTCACAGACGTCTGCAAACAATGCAACACAGAAAAAAATCCCCAAAACCACTTTTTTTAAATAGTACATTATATACTTACTGTTATGGGGATTTCCACAGACCAAGGAGCCCCGCCCATTTTGCAATTCATCTGAATAGCAACTTTTGTAGCTATAGACATTACTCCTTTTGATATCAAATTCTTCGCAAGTATTACTTGAGTTGGGACCATGCGATCGACACAAACTTTTTCTTGATAGCGGAATATCTGCATGAGTAAAATTAACAACAAGTGAAATATTACAGTATCAAAAAAAATTGCAAATTCTTTGCTATATTTATTACCTATCGCTTCGATTATTTGGTACAACACACAAAACTAAATCTGGTGTTGCTGAAGAAGATAAAATTTTTTCCAGCATATCTGTATATGTTGAACTTCTATCATCTGATACTTCATTTCTAAAATATATAATTTACACTTATATATTGTAGTTTTATACTTTATATTGTATTCATTTTACTTACAGAATGGGTTGACTAATAGTCAATCTCATTGAGGCTGCAGCTTTCTGCAGGATTTTAAGAAAATCCATACTATCCTTTCGAAACTTTGGCAGAAATAGTATATGCCAGCGATTAATATTAACAATCGATAGCATAGCACTAGAACGCAAGTCTCTGGTCCAATCGACATTAACATCAACATCAACCCTGTTTCAATTTCAAATAATATTTATAATAACAAATAGAAGACTAAAGTGATATATTGTAGATATTCGTGATTTAAATACATAAAAAATAATAGTTTATATACATTTCATACTGCATTTGATTGAGTCAATTAAAAGTTATATCTACTAAAATACCATTAAAGAAAAAATCAAAATTTATGTAAACTTCATTCTATCATTGCAATATTATCTGTAAGTATACTGCTGATTAATCAATAGTTGAATTAAATTGAACATGTGTACTCACTTTCGGCTTCCACCTAGGTTAATTTTTTCTCTTGGTAAAACTCTTCCTGTAAACTCAAGCAATTTGTTATCTAGATCCATTTGCCAACCAGACAATTCCTTTTGCGTTTCTGGTGTGGTGCGCAAACGCAAATTGAAGTCCATCAATTTCCTTATTCTCATCTCAGGGTTTACTCGAGTGTGTTCAGACATAGCTCTCATTAATTGAAAATTACTCCTCATATCATCTGCAAGATAAAGGTAAATATTAGTTATCATTACTAATTAATGAATTTTATACAAATTAATAGATATATCAGTTACTACTACAGATTTATGATTTTCTAAATGAATAAACAATATAACAAATAACAAGATAACAAAAAATCATGAAAATTAAATTGATTGACATTATTATTAAGTTTTAGATTTTTTTTTATTCAACATTAAATATATTCTTGAACATGTAAATTATTTGCAGCCAAATAGTCAAAATAATAAGCAATAATAAGTATTTTAACTTCGTTTAAAAGATTTCTGAACGTTTTGGCATAATTAAAAGTGCAGAAAACCCCGCATACAGTTTTTGTAAGAACGGGGCATCTGATTAGATTGATTCAACATCTGGTAACAAGTAGACAGGTAAAAAGGTGAAAGGGTGAAAGGGATATGTAGGAAAACAGGCAGACAAGTTGATGAGATAAATAGAGAGAGGTAGACAGGCGTCAGGCAGACTTGTAGATCATATACAAAACTAAAACAATATTATTGATTATAATGAATATTTTACATATTGCAAAAGTTCATATTTTATTTGCCACAAGGTGAAATGCCACTTACAACTAGTCGTTTTGTAAGTCAGACTAGCCACTTTCAACTATTCGGCTGCAAATAAACATATATATATATATATATATTAGATATATATATATATATATATATATTTAAAATAATCATAATAACAAACCTGTGAGACCGGTAGTTCTACAAAGTTCGGGTACGAGAGCTTGGTATGCTGGACATCCAGAACGAATGTCCTTGTCTTTAGATCTATGGATCAACATAGGCTGCTTGGTATCTTTAATTATAACGTTATATTTCTAGAAAAAAAGAGTTGAACAAAAAATTTTAAAAAAAATTAACAATAATAGCATGAATATCTATTTTAAATACAAATATTTGTATATATGTACAAAATAAATAAATAAATAAATAATTTTAGTGTTCCTTTTAATTGTGTACAAGTTAATATGGCACAAAACAATTAAATGAAAACAATGCATTGTTTTCCTGTGATATACAATAATATAAAAATATAATAAAAACCATAGACTAATAAAAACTAATAAAATAATGTATGAATATTAAAATAATATGTAATTTTATCATAGTGATAAGAAATTATTTGAATATTAACTAAAATGTTGTCCTTTTTTTTTAAATTTAAATTTAACTTCGAATTTAAATTTATATTTCATTTGTTAATTAGCCAATTTCTGCTTACTATATTTAAAAAATCAACTTACAGCCTTATAGTAGTTGGAGAATGTGATCTCCTCTCCTGTCTTCTTCTTGAAAGTAGACAATGGAGTCATCTCCCAATTGACGCCATCAATTTTGTATGTTTTATTATTATAATCAGTTAATACAACAGCACCTAAAATGATAATTGTTACAACCAATACCCAATTACAAATAAAGAATTAAAAACTAACCCAGCATGAGACGTTCAAATTCATCTCTAAAGTTTCGTCCCTCTTTGCACTTTGATAGTACATGGTGTGCCGTGTCTAGTCTCATAACTTTATGAGTAATTTCAGTGCACATAAGAATGCTACTCTCATGCTGTCTTATCGATGTTATGTATCCAGGCCAAAGTTGTAAATGGTATTGTGGAATTTCAACCTATAAATGAAAAATTATTTTATTTAAATGTTTACATAAAATTATTTTATGTATGCTTGTCATATCATATGTAATATTAAAATATTCTATTTATATGACTCTCAAATGCCTAAGTAATATATTCTTATTACTCATGTATAAAAATCATAATGTAAATTAAACTAACTTATACTGTCAATATAGTCCTATGATTGAGTATTTATTTTTATATTAATTCAGAAAAACTTAATAGAAAATTCTGACATAGTTAAAAAAATATACTCATAATTTGTGATATCCTTACTTTAGATACAGCATCAAAAAAGTTCCGCCCAACTAATTGAAGTTTTAGCCCTTCAAAGCAGCGACGAATTAATATATTGAAGAACTGAAGGTATTGATAATCTCCCATGCATAAATGCCCAACCATCTAAAAATGAAATCTATTTAGTATGACAAAAATTATATTATGCTTACAATATATGTAAGTACATACATATAATTATGCATATATGTATATATATGTATATATATATATATATCTATTATATATATATATATATATATATAAATATATGTAAACATGTATATACATTAAACAAATTAACTTCTTTCTTGAATCGAATGTTGATTAAGATAAATAAAAATATCAAGGTGTAAAACATAAAATATCAAATATGCTTTAATTATCATACTTTAAGACGAATCACTATTTGAGTTCCGTCTTGTTTTCGAGCTGAATTCAGCTCAATGATATCGGGATAGAGTCTCTGCGCACTATATAAGATTGTTCCATCAAACAAATATCCTCCAAGTGTTGCAGAATGATCTTTCAATAAAGCTTTGCGCACAAATGTCCTATCTTCCTCCGGCATAAAATCGACACGATACTGATATAGACACCAAGTGGTTTGGTGATTTAATCGGAAATAGTTAGCCAGTAAACGTACTTGTTGCCCAGTTGTTCCTGTATATTTTTAAGATATTTGAATGAAAGATAAATAATATATACTATATTTTAAATTTTATTTTTGAATCTCAAATTATTTTTAAAATATTTATTTAACAGTATATAGGGCATCATATCTGGAAAGAAAATGATAAAGCATGCACCAAACAAAAATTGTTTATTTATTTTGTAATGAATTACTGAGTATAAAAATATAATATATGTACAGTGAAATGATGTATATGTAAAATGTAAATGCAAAAAATATAACTAAGTAGTGAGAAATTCCAAAAATACATACCAACATTTTCTGATTTTAAAAATAAAAAAAATTACAATATAGATATTGTTATACACAAAATTAAAATATCTAAGATATGAACAAATTATGTATGTTTATTCAATACAAGGATTCTTTATTATACATACCTTTTTTTGTGGCCAGGTTGTCAGGGCGTGTCTTTATGTGATCTCCTGCAACGTTCGCTTTTTTGCCCTTGCCAATTGGCTTCGTCAGTTGTTCGTTCGCCCCTGAAATATAAAATTTTATTATTCAAAATAATAGAAATAAAATAATGATATTTATATAATATTTTGCTAAACTAAACAAAAACTCACCACTCATAATAGCCTTTGTAGAGCCATCGCCAGTGTAAAATAATTGCGTAAGAGATGTCTAAAAAATAAATCTTAATTTATCAATTCAAGATTTTTTATTAAATGATCATATATATGTATGTATATATATAAATATATATATATATATATATATATATATATATACAGGAATAAAATGTTCAATATTCAAAAAAAGCAAACAGCTAAAAATTATTTATATTAAATGTAATTTAAAAAGCTTTATAAAATTGTCTATTTATATTAAATGCAATTTAAAAAGCTTTATAAAATTGTCTATGCATATTAATGATAGATCATAAAGATAATAATTTGGATTAAGATCATTTATTTCAAAAACATATACAGTAATTTTTCTGAAATATGAAATATCATGCCGTTACTGGAATTTAACTGCAAGTTAGTAATCCATGTTTTGTTATATAACATGGTTTAGGAAATCAATGTTATGCTGAAAGTTATTTATGTGTTCTGTAAGCATTGTTTTATTCTAATTATTATTTTTTTAATTATTTCTGTGTTGAGGAATTCTTTTTCATCACTTTCCGTAACCATATGTTTTTACCAGTTTGCACATTTTTGAAAAAATCTTTATAAACACAATTCATTCAGAGCTAAGACTTACAATGACTCTGTACAAAAATTTAGTTTTCTAACTCAAAATCATAATTATTTTTGAATGTTGAACTACAGATAGAATGGTATTACAATTATGTTAATTAGTGTATGTAGTGTAGTGTTAAATTGTTTTTTTACCTATCTTTAAGTCTAATATGTTTGCATATCCATTTTATTTTCTAAATTAATTATAAAAAAAAATTCTAGTTTTTTACTGAATTATGGTCTCGATGGAGACTGAAACGTGTGGATTAACAAAGCTGATATCATAATTGCTTTAGTTTTTTTTACTTGGTACTATGGCCCGACTCAACACACTCGTTTTAATATATATTTTACATACCAAATTTACATACTCAAAAAAAGGAAATATTTATATATATATATATATATATATATATATATATATATATATATATGTATATAATGAGCATCATACCTTAAGAGATGTCATGTCCAAAGAAGAGTTTCCATTCATGTTAGGTTTCACCTGCAAAGAAAGTCGAATAGTGTTTAGATCCACTTCACTAATTATCAGCAAGAATATATATATATATATATATATATATATATATATATACATCAAAAACAAGAAATAAATAAATAAATGAATGAAGGGTATAATAAAAAAAAGCCTATAAATAAATATATATCTGTGTGTATGCATGTAGATGCAATATCTTTCGATTTCGTGCATTGATTTAGTGTGATTTTGAAACTTAGTTACTGTTTATTATACCTGGTTCATATTGTTTACTTTTAATTGTCCATTCGTTACTGATCTATTTGTATCCCAAGTAAGTGGAGTAGTAACATTCTATAAGCCAATAAAATATATAAAATTAAAATGATAGCATACAATAATATGAATTTTTATAACATGTTTGAAGTATTACTATTAAGTTACTATTACTATTAAGTAAAGTATACTAATTAATTAATATAATGATTAAAATTACAAAAATACAACCTGAATGTTAGGACCATTATCCATTTGGATACCATTGATTTGAGAAGGCTGTGCTTGTGCCAATGGCTTACTATTATTAATCTGAAGAGGAATAGCAGTCCGATCCTATTAATAACCATTAAAAAACATATAAAACAAAGTATTTACAACATTTCTTAATTGAAGTACTAAACTATTCTTCTTATTTGTATTTAATTTCAGTAATAGTATTTTGATAACGAGCAAATATACAAACGTTAATACATATTAAAAGTTAAGTTATTACATCAATATTAAAAAACATCTTTAGATTATGCTATTTGCAATAAAAACTTTAGTTTCATAAATATACTTGTTTTTTATACATAAATCTCAAAAGTCATTTCATAGTTTAACCAAATTAAAGAACCTTATCTGCAGGTATCGCTCCATTTACAAGTTTGCCATTATTTGACTGACCCCATTGGAATGGCCCATTTGCTTTGGCAGGTCCATTCTTAAGATGATCAGTGCCTACTGGTGACAGCCCATTGGTCATTGATTTATTCAAATCCCATTGTATACCCTAAAAAATAATCAACAAGTATTTACACTAAAATTATGGTAAAAAAATCAAATTAAACTTAAGTTATCAATTTATCAATATATAAGTACAAGGAATTATAAAATTTAAATTTAATGAATTAAAAACGGTGGCATACAAGTAAAATATTAAAATAACAAATTATCTAAAATAGCATATGAAATAAATTCTCTCAATCTCTCTGTAAAGTTGAAAAAATCAATAATACTATGATAATAATTATTCATAAACATGTTCTGGTTATATTTTATTCATATTAAAATAAAGTATGCAATAATAACTGACTAGAGTATCA